GTTTCAGCAAAAGGGAGACCAAGTCCGCACGCCCGTGGAGGGCAGCCACGTGCAGCGGTGTCAAGCCGTCGTGGTTTGCGGCGTTCACACCGAGGCCGTTCGTGGGCACCCTGAAGAGTTCCTGTTAAGAGACAAATCAAGTAACCTGAAGGAAATTTGGAAGAGTCCTCTCAAGTTACTTAACACGTGCATAAAAACAATTTAGGGAACTGAATGGTCAGGGACCGCAGATTGGTCGCTTGGTACCCCTTCCTGAGTCCCACCTTCCATTAAGAGTTTTACTGCTGTTAGGGTCAGCTCCAGATTTTGGGAGGCCCCAGGCAGAGTTCCCAGCACCCCCCCTCCCCTCCCCTCCTCACCATCAGACCATGCTCATACCTTTCCCACTGAGCCAGTTTGGTGTAGTGGTTAAGTGCGCGGACTCTAATCTGGGAGAACCGGGTTTGATTCCCCACTCCTCCACTTGCACCTGCTGGGTGACCTTGGGCAAGCCATAGCTCTGATAAGAGCTGTCCTTGAAAAATAACAGTTTCTGTCAGAGCTCTCTCAGCCCCACCCACCTCACAGGGTGTCTGTTGTGGGGAGGGAAAGGGAAAGGAGATTGTAAGCGACTCTGAGACTCCTTAGGGTAGTGAAGGGCGGGGTACAAATCCAATCTCTTCTCTTCTTCTTCTTTCCCTTCCCCTCACCACAACAGACACCCTATGAGGGAGATGGGGCTGAGAGAGCTCTCTGAGAACTGCCCTTGAGAGAACAGCTCTGAAAGGACTTGTGACTGACCCAAGGTCACACCAGCAGCTGCATGTGGAGAAGTGGGGAATCCCAGATTAGAGTCCATGCTCCTAACCACTACACCAAACTGGCTCTCAGTGGGAAAGCCGAGGAACAGTGAGACCCATCTACACCGTTTTCACAGTGACCTCTTCAGAGTGCCAGGGCGAGTACTCTCTGAAGGAAACCAGAGATACCACAGTGCCCATCAGGTATGTATATCTGTAACATTACAAAATGGATGATATTGAGAGATCATGGCAAAAGAATCTGCACACTGGCAAAAAAAAAAAGGAGAAGACCTGCTGCTTTCCTAAATATATGACTGACAACAACAGCTTGGCATAAGTAGGCAGAGGCTAGGTGGGAGGTCAAAGTGTTGTTTACTCTCACCAGTCTGAAAACATCTTGGGCGATACAATGCCGGGACAGGCCATTGAAAAATAGGCAGGAGCGTCGAGGGCGTGGCTTCCCACCTTCCTCTGTAGAGCTACCGCCCTTCTTTCTCCACGGTACAGTGAGCCTCCCCGTTCCACCACTCAATCCTTTCAACAACCCGATTGGCCAGAGAAGCAGCTCATTCCATGAGGTCGTGAGCTCTATTAAGGATGGGGGCCTGGTTAAGAGCTGCCTGCAATTAATCACGGGCCTCTGAAGAGGAGAAAGCGAACTGGGACGGACAAAGGGACCAACCTTTTGCACAGGCCCACATCTGGAACACTGGCACAAGGGATGACAGAATTCCTGTTTCTCCACACCACCGGCCTCCTCAGATTCTTCTAAGTCATCCTCCACCCATTCCAAAAGATAACGCACCTGAGAGGGGAGGGAGAAGACAGTCATCTTTTTTATGTACTCACAGTATTCACAGAGCCGGTGAACCTGGGTCCAAGATGCACTGCTTCAGTGCGTGGGACTGAATGCTTCTAACAAAATAAGATCCCTGCATATAGGAAACTAGCAGGTCAGGAAGGTTATGATTTGTCACCTAGTTTACTACATGCAGGGGGTTGGGTGGCAGGCTAACAACACGTTTACCATCACAGTAAAAATGAGGACAATTTGCCTCCTGACAATTTCACGGAAAAATCTATGCTTGGAAATTCAATGAGATAGCCAAAGAGGGCTTGGTGACGTGCTCTCATTTCCTTCCCTACAAGTCAAACTGAGAGCCAGTGTGGCATAGTGGTTAGAGTGTCAGACTAGGATCTGGGAGAATCAGGTTCGAGTTACCATGCTGCCATGGAAGCTCGCTGGGTGACCCTGGGCCAATCCCATGCTCTCAGCCTAGCCTACCTCACAGGGCTGTTATAGGGATAAAATGGAAGAGAGGAGAATGATGTGAGCAGCTTTGGATCTCCACTGGGGAGAAAGGCAGGGTATACATGAAGTTTAAAAAATGAAAGTAAGGGGAAAGAACATTAAACACCAAAACCGCCAAAGTAAGTTTGCCAAGGAGCAAGGGAGAGTAAATTAGAAATGACCTCCCCTGCTTCTAATTGAGACTTTGACTTCACCTCTGCACCAGATCACTCAAATCCTTTTAACATGGATTGTTGAAGATTAAGTGCGAGGCTCTGGGCCAGCCTGTGTGAACATGTTTCCTTGGCCATCGCCAGGTCTTATTCTTGGAAAATAAAATCAACCTTTGGAATCAAAAGATTCAAAGAATGCTGACTTCAAATGCATTATAACCAGGGCTGTGGGGTACTCCAGTGGATTCCCAAAAGTGGGCATGGCTCTCTCACGGGTGGGTTATGAGGCCAGGAAGGAGGACGAGGAACCGGAGAAGAGGAGAATCAGGGGAGTTTGATGGGTTTTCCTGTGTGGAGTAGCCATGAAGTACAGCCTCTTGCTCAGTAATGCCGTATATTTAAAAATATAAACTTGTGAACCCTTGACTAAGGTCCGCATTTTAAGATGGGGAGGGGATGTCCCATGAAGTTTAAAAAGGGCCCCACCTCAAAAAGTTTAAGAACCACTAGTATATTCCAAAATCCAGAGAATCTCAGTTTCATTTTTAAAGCAAGTTTCCAGGCCTTTCAACTGAAACGGCAAGCAATGCCTGATCTCAGAAGCCAGAGGGAGCTGAAGAAAGATTTGCAGTGATAAGCACCCTATATATAGACACCAGAAACATTACGCAACCCCCTCCAAGAATGCTGGTAGACACATGTACACTGAGGCAGGTGATTTTTAAGTGCAGCCCTGATCAATGTTCCCTCTAAGCTGTGGAGTCCTGTGAGCAGAAATTCTACTTTGTGAGCTACTGGCATTAAAGTTGTGAGCAGGTAGTTTGGCTGCTGCATAAAATTAGTTTGCTCTGGAGCCATCTTTCCTGAGCTAAGACAAAAATGTGTGAGCTGGAGGCTAAAAGACTGTGAGCTAGCTCACACTAACTCAGCTTAGAGGGAACACTGGCCCTGATCTTAATTCAACGTAAACAGACTTAACTCTTCAAAAGGGTGACTAAATCTTTACCAGCATAACAGTGTAATTGAGGGGCAACATATCCGCAGCAGAGCCACTTAAGACTCGCCCTCGGTCAAAAGCGGCTGTTAACCCCAGTTGCCATCACGGCAGCATGCCCCTTTTTGATCTTGATTTATTCCTGCCTCTCTTTTATCTTGCACACCCTTTTTAGTGAAAATCCCCAGTGTGCCCCAGCTGCTGCATTCTCTTTCTCTGGAGACAACCTCTCAAACCTGAGTGTCAATTTCAATCCTAATTTGGGTGTGTGTGTGTGATACTTTTCCACCTGGACCTCTCACCAATGACACTGACAAGAACTGGAGCTGCTTGGAAGGGAGGGCCAGGCCTTAAAACGGGCCCATGGGTCATAAGAACATAAGAACATAAGAGACGCCAATGTTGGATCAGGCCAAAGGCCCATCCAGCCCAACACTCTGTGTCACACAGTGGCCAGGAATACCAGGTGCCATCAGGAGGTCCACAGTGGGGCCAGGACACTAGAAGCCCTCCCACTGTTGACCCCCCCCCCCAGCACCAAGAAGACAGAGCATCACTTGCCCCAGAGCCCCTATCTATACCTTGTGGCTAATAGCCACTGATGGGCCTCTGCTCCATATGCCTATCTAATTCCCTTTTGAAGAACGGGTCCCTCCCCATTCGGAAGGCCGAGAAGTGGGGCCCTGATCTGGGACTCTATACCCAGGGTGCGAAAGAAGCTGCGTCAGCAGCTCTGGTAACCAACCCAAGGAAAAGCAACTCCTGTGAGTTGAAAGGGCGATGAAGACCATCCTTCCCACAGGCAGCTCAGCAAGGCTGGTTTTTCCCACAAGCCCTTCTCTTCAGCTCCCTGCAGCTGTTGGGACAACAAGGAAGCTGCTGAGCCAGGTATCCGCTCAGCACCAAAATAGTCTGAACCCGGAGGTCGACTCTGCGTCTTACCGAAGTTTAATCACGTTTATCCCAAGCATATCTGTTTCCAATTACAACGGATTAGCTGAGGACTTGGGTCAAATGCTAAATGCACTTTAAAATAGATGCACATGTTAAGGATCTCAAAGCTGTCTTAATCTGTTCCCCTCAATTAATGCGCGCCACTTTGTGACTTCTTTATATTTCACAGCAAGGAGGAGTCTAAGGAACACAAGCAGGAGGGCACCCCTGCTGCACATCTTATTCTTTTAAAGATCTATTATGTTTCATGTTGTTATACAGATGTTGTTCTCTTCCTAGTTTGCCAGCCTATCGCAATTATGGCCTGTCGATTCAGAAATCCCTCCAATCCATCACTAAACTTCTTTAAGTATGGTCTGGAATGCCACTTGGACCGAGGCAAGGTGTGTTTTACAATCTTTTGTATTTCTTTTTTCAAAGAAATGGAATTCTGCAGACATCTGATACGCAACTGTACGATCTGCCTGAATGTCAGCTGTGTCACACTGTTTAAAAGGCTTCCAAAGGAAAGGATAAAAATTGCTATGGCAGTTTTCAGTCATTGAAAAAGAGAGACAGTAAATAATGCAAATTATAGGATGGGAACAGCCAGAGTTGATGTTGTCAGCACTTTACAGAAAGTTAGATTATTCAAAATCAAAACACTCTCAAGTGCTTCTCGTTTCTGTAAGCCACTTCTTTTTAACAGCCTGCACTTGTCGACAGCATTATGTCTGCTGTGACTTCCCGTTCAGAGCTGATGATGCTAGCTTGGTGTGGTGGTTAAGTGTGCGGACTCTAATCTGGGAGAACCGGGTTTGATTCCCCACTCCTCCACTTGCAGCTGCTGGAGGACCTTGGGCAAGCCATAGTTCTGTCAGAGCTGTTCTTGAAAGAGCAGTCCTCGAAAGAGCTCTCTCAGCCCCACCTACCTCACAGGGTGTCTGTTGTGGGGAGGGGCCTGAAAACAGGTAATACAGAACACAAGACAACTTACCATTTCAAGGTCTCCATCAGCGACTGCTCTTAGGAGTTTCTCTACCTATGCAACGAGCAAAGAGGGAAACTTAGTTGGGATATATTACAACACTTTGACTGTACAGTGATCTCAAAGACCTACTGCCGATTTCAGATTTGTACAGCTGAGGGAGTGTTCGTGCACCCAGAGGGCTATTACAGGAGGCACCCACAGAGGGCTCATTTGAACAAAGCAGAGGAGCTGTATACAGTGCCACCGTGATTTGATTGACTGCGGCAGCGTTTTTGAGGCAGCGCATTTGGTCAGATAATGGCAGGCATGCACGCAGGTCTCACATGAATAGCATCCTTGCATGAACGTTTCTTGCATATATAGCCAGGGGTAGCTGCCCACACCTGGAGATAATCACTGGAGTAGGGGAGGGGGTCGGCCAGATGTAAGAACCACTCCAAAGTCTTTAAACTAAGGAAGTCTTATGAACCAACATCGTACAGAAGATGCCTAAGGAATGCACCTGTGCGCTTATAGCTATGTTCCAAAGTTAAAAGTAAAACTGAAACACAGGACACACAGAGGAGGGTGGCCAGAAGTGCTCCCTCTAAGCTGAGTTAGTGTGAGCTAGCTCACAGTTTTTTAGCCTCCAGCTCACACATTTGTTGTCTTAGCTCAGGAAGGATAGCTCCAGAGCAAACTGATTTATGCAGTGGCCAAATCACCCACTCACAACTTTAACGCCAGTAGCTCACAAAGCAGAATTTTTGCTCACAGGACTCCATAGCTTAGAGGGAGCATTGGTTGCCAGGTCTCCAATTCTATGGTTTTACCATAGAGTTTCTAGCAATTCCTAGATCCACCCGACTTCACTTCTGGGTTTCGCCCCAAGCTCCTGACAGTTGCCAGGCATTGCCAGACAGCAAGTGAGCAAGGAAGCATGTCCCAAATTAATCTGGAATGGAATTCTTGAGAACTTTCTTACAGAGGGAACAGAACTGTTTTGGCAGCCACTGCATGTGGCTTGTACATTAGCTGTCATGATCTGACCTGAACAAATGGAGACTGAGTGAAGTTACTGCAAAGCCACAGGCCACCCAGTGAGCAGAGGGCTGAAAACCCATCTTTTAAAAACAAATGGTTTAAATAACCGTAGGACATCTTCACAGCAAACCAACACTCTCCCGCAAAAATAAACTATTTACATTTAGGAGCAGCTCTTGGCTTTAGACAGAGGATCAGACAGAGAGGTTTTGCTTCCGCTTAGTCAATGAGAGGCAACTGCAAGGCATCCGTGTGAGCTGCAGCAAAGTGGCAGGGAACTAAAGTTAGATTACAAAAACGAGGCCAGGAGCTTCACGAGCTGAAAGGTCTAAGCTGCCGGTAATCTTTTCCTCCTGACCTGAGCTACAGATGTGGCAGCTGGAGGACGATGTTTGTCTATACAAAGAAGGGGGGCAGGAGCAACTCTAACAGTGCTAGAGGGGTGTTAACTCCTCTTAAGAATGCACTGAAATGAGTTTCTACATGACTTGCTTCTTATTTCTGTAACAGTGTCACTTGGTAGGATGGTCAATGGTATGGTATAGCCCAGGAGGGGTCCTCAATATGATGCCCGTGGCCGCCACGGTGCCTGCCGATGCCTTTTCTGGTGCCCAATAAGTGTTTTTAGGAAGTGGGTGGGGCCAGGTATGGCTTTTGCCCAGCAAGGCTTCTGATTGACTACTGAAGATTTGATTGGCTATGCAGATTTTTTTAAAAAAATGTTGCTCTGGCAGCCGCTGTCTCCACAGCACAGGGATCCACACTGTGTGACTGACGTTAAGCTGTGGAAATCATTGTGTGGCCGGCTCCGCCTCCTGCGGCAGCCATTTTGTTGCTGCATTGACCGTGCCCCGTCAGAATTCCAAATGTGCCCAGAGGCTCAAAAAGGTTGGGGACCCCTGGTGTAGCCCAGTCTCATCACAACTTGGAAGCTAGGCAGGGTTGGTACTTGGATGGGAGACTGCCGTCATACCCGTGGAGCCACCTCTCCCTTTACGACCCCCCTCGGTGGCTGCAGTTGTCATCTCGTGGCTTACTGGTGGTGTCGGGGCCTCAGGCTGCATGTTTCGCATCCTCCAGGATGAGGGCTTTTTCAGTCACGGTCCCGTCCTGGTGGAATGCCCTCTCAGATGAGACCCGGGCCCTATGGGACCTCCCTAGAGTCCACAGGGCCTGTAAGGCTGAGCTTTGCCATCAGGCCTTTCTTGGGAGAGTTTATTTTTGGAGCTTAATCCTGGATCCACCATTATCAGTTGTGAGTTGTTTGTTTTTTATACTGTTATAACCAGGGCTTTTTTTGTAGAAAAAGCCCAGCAGGAACTCATTAGCATAATTGGCCACACCCAACAGCAATAATGTATCATTTTATTAGGCCACACCCCCGACAGCACAGGTCATTAGCATATGAGGCCACACCCCTGTGTTACCAGAAGTGTGCTCATCCAGCCACACCCACCTTTTGCTTCTTATTCTGTTTACCTTGTTTGTTGTCAAAACCCAGGGCTTTTTTTTGTAGCAGGAACTCCTTTGCATGTTAGGCCACACACCCCTAATGTAGCCAATCCTAATGAGTTTCTGCTGTTCGGTGTGGCCTATTATGCTAATGAGTTCCTGCTGGGCGTGGCCAACTCAGAAGCCAGCCGGAACGCCATTCCTGTGCGTTCCTGCCCCAAAATATGACTGTTTTATGGTGTTGTGAACCACTCCGAGGAGGGGTGGAATAATAATGATGTTGGTGATGATGATGAAGAAGATGTAGTAACCGGGGGCTATTTTTTAGTTGTTCATTTGGATTTAGTTCCTTGCAGAAGCCCAGTGTTTGGTTTTGTGTTCTTGAGCCAGAGAAATGCTGATAAGGACACCTGCAGACCATTAGCTTTCGGTTGCCTAGCACTGACACCATGAAGACTTGGTGTTTTTTGGAATGGCCTTGGACAGCTGAGGCTGGTTGGGGTTCCCATGCAACAGCTGAGCATGTGAATGTCAATCAGTTCAACCTTCAATTACATCTGTCCAGTGCTTCATTTACATATGTCAAACTCCCTGACCGGTGTATTGGGATCAGGTGAATTGGGTTGCAAGGCCCAATTAAGTGCCTATGGTCAGGTGTTTCCAGAAATGGTTAAAAATGACATCTTTCCACATCTTCTTTGTTTAACTGTAGACTCTTAGCTGGTTATGCTACAGGGTGCTATTGTTTTTCCATCTGGGGAAACCCTGAACCTCTGCTGGATAGATTGAGATTTTGTGGTCTGCCCTGCTGAACTGCTGTAAGCAGACTGATCTTCGTTTGTGCTTCAAGAACTGCTGTGGATAACTGGTGCTGTAATACCCAAGGTATTGTAGCTAGAGATATTAAAAACCTTTTTTATTTTCTGTTCACATAGTGTGTTGGTATTGCTTTGCATCATATATGAAAACTTTTTAGTTACATACCTATTTGGTGTGTTTCTGTCTGGGGTTTGCAGAAGGCTTTTTCTAGTTGCCTTTTTGGCCCTACCAATAGTGTGTGTGTGTGTGTGTGTGTGTAGAACTCCTGACTCTCTGGAGAGGGTCTGGATTTCTATTTAGTCCTACAGGAAGCAGGGTTGGCCCGTGCTTTGCATTCCTGGATGAAGCAGGTCTGGTGGCAGCCTACTGGTTTAGGAGCAAGAGGAACTTGACTCCTGACTTTGTTAATATTAGTCAGAGTGCTCTGCCTGTCAGGGCTCCAGCCCAACCTCCTGCTGAGCTGGCAAAGGAGTGCTTGAGGTCTGCAGAGGAAGGCAATGGCCAACCACTTTCTGCTTCTCGCTTGCCTTGAAAGCCCCTGGCTGGGGTCACCATCAGTCAGCTGCAACTTGATGGCACATTCATACATAGCTTGGTGGAGCCACATCTGCATAAAGCAAAGGTGCTGTGATTTAGGGATACCCGAGTGGGTAGAAAAGTCAGAAATCATACGCAGCCTGTGAAATTTCAGTAAGGGGGAAGGAGCATCAACATTGTTCTGGTCTTCCGAGCTAGTCTCGTGTCAACAGTTATGAGACCCAGCTGTGAACCAAACAGCCCCCCTTGTTCAGCTCTCGCTATGGACTCGCTTGAAAGCCTTTAGGGGAGCCACATATTCTTGGGCCACAGAGAGGAGACTCCCGTATTATTTCATAAACAATGCTGGTCAGTAGAATTAGTTTACACATTCTGTTGATACAAAAATATCAGACAGTGGATCTGTCTGTAAGAATCAGCCCATTCCAAGGTCTGACTGGTTGTCCAGGCACATAGAAAAAAAGAGACCCACCTTTACATTGACATTCCCAAGTCCTTTACTTTGCCATCAGGACTGGGTAGTCTGATTGTTATTAGTGATGGGGGGGGGGGGATACAGATGGCCAAGGATGACCAAGAAATATAGGTGACTGATGAACAAAATGATGAAGATGGGCAGTGTGGTATAGTGGTTAGCCTAGCCATAAGAGACGAGAACTGGAGAAACCTGGGTCCAAATGCCCCACTTGGCCACGAAGCTCACTGGGTGTCCCTAGGTCAGAGTGGTGGACTCTAATCTTGAGAACTGGGTTTGATTCCTCATTCCTCCACATGAAGCCTGCTGGGTGACCTTGGGCCAGTCACAGTTCTCTCAGAACTCTCTCAGCCCCTCCTACCTCGCAAGGTGCCTGTAGTGGGGAGAGGAAGGGAAGGCGACTGTAAGCCGCTCTGAGACTCCTTCGGGTAGAGAAAAGTGGAGTATAAAAACCAACTCTTCTTCTACTTCCACCTGACCTCCCCATGGGGACCCTCCGTGCACAGCAGGAACTTGTAAGAGAAGCCCGCTTCTCCCCCAGAGGACACAATGGAGGAGGAGGAGGAAAAGAACCACGTGTAATCCTCCAGAGCTCTTTGGAGGAAAGGCAGGATAAAAATGTGACAGAGACAGGCCAAGAGAGTTGGCAGCCTGAGTTTCTTCCGCACCACTAATGATCTGAGGCTTCTTAATCTTACCTCTTTATAATAAGCTTTTGTTCCATCTCGTCTAGCGATGGGTGCCGTGGCGGACGAAGATAAACTGGATCCAGATGACACTTGGCTGGCTGTGTCCTCTGATCTGGTGAGTGACTGACGGGGTCGGCAAAGAAAGCAAAGAGAGGGGGGTGGGGGAGGTTTGCTGCATCACCGTTACCGATATTGGCTGATCGGCTGAACGTCCTTATTGCTAAGGAACAGGTAAACAAGCAAGTGTGCTCTGTTACCTGAGAAGCACTCTGCCTCCTTTCGAACCTCAGGTAGTTCAGCTCCATTAAAGACAGAATCTGCAGGAAGATAAAACATTCATGAGCAATGCTCCCTCTAAGCTGTGGAGTCTTGTGAGCAAAAATTCTACTTTGTGAGCTACTGGCATTAAAGTTGTGAGCGAGCGATTTGGCCACTGCATAAATCAGTTTGCTCTGGAGCCATCCTTCCTGAGCTAAGACAAAAAATGTGTGAGCTGGAGGCTAAAAAACTGTGAGCTAGGTCACACTAACTCAGCTTAGAGGGAACACTGCTCACGAACACAAAATACAGCTCCCACCTCAAGAGATATTTAATGATTGGACGGCAAGCATTGATGTGGGCTGACAGAGATCAGACATAAGGGCAGAGAAATAGTAAAAAGCTCAGTAGCACCTTTAAGACTAACAAACGTTTATAGCATAAGCTTTTGAGAAACACAGCTCTCATCATCCAATGCATCTGATGAAGAGAGCTGTGTTTCTCGAAAGTTTATGCTACAATAAAGTTTGTTAGTCTTAAAGGTGCTAATGAGCTTTTTACTATTTTGCAGCAACAGACTAACTCCTCTGGATCCAAGGGCAGAGAAGAAAGCTTCCATTTTGCAATGCTTGTCTTGCCTGTCACACACTTTGGAAGGAAAATTGTTAATTTCTTCCATCGAAGGCAAACCAAAATTATTTTTAAGAGCTTTGGCTACATACCCTCTTTGCAATTAAGTGCCTGTTAGGATCATGGAGGAAATTAATTAAACAAAGAAAAGATCAAGGAGAAGCGCTGTAAAATTTAATGCACTGCATGGAAGTCTCAGAAGTAAAACTGTGATCTTCCTCTATCAAAACTGAAATTATTTTTAAGGCCTCCCCATTATATAATCTTTGCAATTAAGCACTGGCTGAGATCACAGAGGAATTCCATTTTTTAAAAAAAGACTTTGAAAACAAGATAAATAAATAGTACCGTAGAATTTAATGCACACTGCACAGCGGTCTCTTTCATTCGGTTTTGAATATCCGGGTTGGCTCCGTTTTGCAATAGCACTTCTATGATCCCTTGGTAGCCCCAGCGAGCAGCTATATGGAGGGGGGTGTCTCCTTTTTCATTACCAATATCTAATTTACAAGAGTGGACGTCGTAGTACACTAAAGCCTTGACACACTAGAAAGTGTGGAAAAGCAAAAAGGGGAGAAAGATTATGCCAGTGAAGCTACCCAGCATTGGAACTAAGAGGTCTACTGTTAATCTGCTTTGGATATTAGATATTATTATCCCATATAATATATTCCATGCAAGTAACATTTGCGAGCTGTTTTTACAAACTGGTGTCAGAAAATCCTACCTGTTGTATCGACAAATTAAAATAAAATAAAATAAAAAAATCCCACTTTATCTACATACAGAGAAAAATTAACAAACTGTGCTATGTTCCGTATCAGAAAATCCTACCTGTTGTATTGACAAATTAAAATTAAAAAAAAAATTAAAAATCACACTTTATCTACATTCAGAGAAAAATTAACAAACTGTGCTATGTTTTGTCTATTTGAATCAAGGATCTCTTTGACCTCCTCCTTGGGTCTCAGACAGGTTTCCAGGGGTCAAATAATTCATGTGTTCAAACAATTATGGTACAGCACAGTCCACGCATTTCTTTTTCCAGGCAGTAAAGCAATGAGAATGTCCTATCTACATCTTCAAGAATGGCGCCAAATTGACCTTTTCCCCTAAGAAGCACCATCTGAACGGGCCCAAGTTTGTAACTGTCTAGAGAAATTGTTGTAGCTCCCTATGAGAGTGCTGCGATTCCTAGGAAGCTCGCTGAAGTTGATGTGTGCTATAGAGGCTTTGAGGGCAAGATTACTGTGATGATCCATAAATCATGTGCCACCAAAGTCATGATAGGGACAGATTTGGCATATAAGTCTTTTATACAGGGATAATTCTGAAAACACAAAGTCTAAAGGGAGAGAATTGACAGTATTTAAAAAAAAATGGGAGAGAAGAGGTGTTAGGATTTTAATAAGATATTGCCACTAGTACAGATGTCATAAGAATGTAAGAACGTAAGAAGAACCCTGCTGGATCAAACCAGTGGTCCATCTATTCCAGTATCCTGTTTCATACAGGGGCTAACCAGTTCCTCTGGACAACCAACAAGAGGGCATAGTGGCCAAGGCCTTCCCCTGATGTTGCCTCCTGGCTCTGGGATTCAGAGGTTCAGTGCCTCTGAATGTGGAGGTTCCCCTCAGTCACCACAGCTAGTAGTATCCTCCATGATTCTATCTAATCCACTGTTAAAGCTGTTTATTCCTGCAGCCACCACTACATCCTTGGGCAGCGAATTCTACATTTTAATCACTCTGTGTAAAGTAGTATTTCCTTCTGTCTGTCTTGAACCTACTGCCCATCAGCTTCACTGGATGCTGTTGAGCTCTAGTATTTTGGGAGAGGAAGAAAAAAATTTCTTTGTCAACTCTCTCCAGCCCATGCATAATTGTATACACCTCTATTATGCCACCCCTTAGCCATGGTACTACTTTAGCTTTTGGCAAATTACTTACATCCTCGTGGCCATAAGTACAAGCTAAATGCAGCGCCGTGTTGCCGTTGTTGTCTTGAATTTCTGTGCTGCCCTTGTAGTGCAGCAAAAGGAGCTGAAAAGGGAAAGCGAGACAATGTCTTTTATAGAGGAAAAACAAATAACCGCAGTGGCATAAGTTTCTAAGCAAATGAATCAGTCCCGTCCATCTCCCTCTGCTTGAAAGCAGCCACATGAAAACACCTCTCATCTGGGTTCTTTGCTCCCACTTTGACCCAGTTCGTGACCCACATAAATGCTTCCCACCACGCACTTTTTAAAACCGACTGAGCGTTATGGCCAAGACACCCAGACGGTTATATCATCCACTAGATGCTGCAGAATAGAACAATACAGGCCAATTCAACAGCAGATGCTTCAGAGGCAATCTGAGGAATGAAAAAGAAGCATCCTCAGGCTAAATGGAAGCACAACAACAGCCTGATAAAGGATTTCTTTGTTCCTCTGATAAACGGAGTGGGTCAGCTTCAAAGCACTTCTCGAACTAAAAGATAGGTAGCATTGAAATAGTGCCTTTCAGGCACTCAAGGTAGCTCACTTACATTGTCTCAGTTGTATACATGGTGTACAGCATGTACTTTTCCCCTCCCCTTTAATACTTCACATTTTTATCCCAAACCTTCCTCCATGGAGATCATGGTGACCATATGAAGGTGCCCTATGCCGAGTGGGGCGTATTGAACCACCCAGCTCAGTATTTGTTGCTCTGACGGGGAGGGGGAAAACACCTTCCTTTAGCAGCAAAATCCAGGACTGAACTCGGGACTGCCTGCACACAGAGCTTGTTTATTTATTTATATTTATAGATTCAATTTATAGCCTGCCCTCCCTGCTGCGCGGGCTCAGGGCAGCTCACAATTAGGCATATGTCTACACATAAAACAAATTAAAACCATATAAAATCCTTACTACATACATCAAGATTAAGTGCTCTGGCTTGTTCCAGTGTGATCTTCCACAAAGATGGCGTTACAAGATGGTACATCTACTCAATGCTCTCAGTTCGACGCGACACTGCCATTCCCCCTTCCCAGGGCCAGACAATACTGATGGAACATAACGATGGTGCGGTAGTGGTGGCGGCTCCTACTTGAAAGCCTGGCGGAAGAGCTCCGTCTTACAGGCCCTGCGGAACTGTTCTCTGCCACTGAGTCACAGACCCTTTAAGGGTGGTTTTTAAGGAGGGAATTTTGGGGGGGCCAAACAACACCCATGCCCTGTGGGACCTGCTACAGTTTCGCAGGGCCCACAAGGCAGAGATGTTCCACTAGGCGTTCGGTTTAGGACAGCGACAGTTCCAGTCTTGTCACTGAGGAAGAACCCTGCCTTTTACTGTCCCTTGCGCCGATTTTAACCTGATTGTAACTGATGTTTTATGACTGTGTCGTGCATCGCTCTGAGCGACTGAAAAGCCGAATCAAATAAATAAATAAATCCTATAAGGTGAGTTAGTAAGCAGCTAGTCCAAGGTCAATTAGCAAACTTTCTGTAACCCCCTGGTCTGTTTAACATCACTTACTTTGACTGACAGCATCTCTCTTAAGTGGCGAAAGGTCCTTCCTAACACCTACTACCAAAGATCCTGTTAAACTAGAGATGAGGCATTCCTTATGCAAAACCTGGAACATTCCATATGCAAAGCAGGCGTTTTGTCACTGAGGAACAACCCTGCCTTTTACTGTCCCTTGCGCCGTGCTAGGTCCCGGTGCTTTTAAAACATGACTGCTTTGGGATATCTGATGGATTTAATGCAGAGCCAATCTATAGTCTACTTCCAGAAAAACACCCCGGAGGATCAATAACCAAAGTGCTTTATCAATATTTTGCTACTTACGCCAGTATTATAACGGGCTAATGGACAAGGAGAACAGAGAGCATCCTAGCTCAGACCCACATGCATTAACCCTTCAAAGTCTGGATCAGAGAACAGCCTTTCTCCCACCTCTCCATGTGTTAGGAAAGGTGTTAGAATAGCCACAACATAACAGGGCCTTCTCCACAGTTGCCCCAAGGTGAAAAGAACTAGTTCCCCAAGGAAGGTTGCATTTGCATAGCACTACTGATTTATGTGAGGAATAATGGAAGGCATACCTCTTTCAACCTGTTTTTGAGGGCTGGACCACAAAGTGGCTATGCAATTGACTATGCAAGAAGTCCCCAGTTCAAATTTCATTTCGGCCACATACTCACCAGGTAGCCTTAGGCAAGTGACTCTGTCTCAGCCTCAGACTGCCCCCCATATGAAGGTAATCATACCAACCTACCTTGCAGGTTAGCTGCAAGGAGTATAACAAGGTAGCATTTGTGACACACTTTGAATATGGTGAAAGCACGATACAAATGCTAAGTATTAAATAGTAATTAGTTGTTCCGACACTGTTTGTATATTAGCAAGTGTATAGCATGAATTGACTGTGTTGATACGTATCATTATTTAGTTCAACCCACAACTACTGAACTAATTTTTATTGTCAAAGAAAGTGAACTTGCTAGGAAACCTGAGGTTGCTGTCCTGAAATCCAAATATAGCAAAGTTTTTTCCCCCCATTTCCATTTCTCCCCCCATTTCTAGCACAAGGTGTTACATGCCATAAGAAGTTTTAAATTGGATCGCCGTTTGCTCGATACAGAACCCTGCAGGCACCATTGTTTGATAACACTTCTGAAGAGGCTGTCACTCAGTTGTGTCAAGAGCAGGAAAAACAAGCTATTAAGAGAGGCTTTTGCTTTCAATCCGCAAGCACGATTCAATAGAAAGGGGCATAATTATTATCTGGAGCTTTTTCTTTTTTAACCTGGACTTGTGCAAAAAATCTCTCGTTAATCTTTTGGTGCTTACAGTAACATTCTGATACCCTTTCTGGCAGGCAAGGTGAAGCGGGGTTGATCCGTGGTAATCTGTAGCATTGACGACGGCTCCTTTGGAGACTAACAAGTCAATTAACGAGGCTTGCCCTGTGAAAAATATATGCTTGTTAGAATCAAAGTGGCAGCACCTCGGGAGGTTAAAACGCAAACCTCCTCTTCCCATGGCAAACTGTGAGCTTAACAATCTATTCCTTCCTCCCCTGTGTTAGTAACACGGTCGTTATCTTTACGATTCACACCACCGCGGTAAGCATTCCCCAATTTACAATAGCTTATTCCAGGTCAAGGCTCAGCGAGGAGTTTCCTACCCACAATGTGAATTGAAATTGTCTCTGGAGGGAGGCAACGAAGAAATGAATGCCAGCCGCGAATTGAAGGTACGTAGAAAAAGCAGTCCTCTCCAGGGTCCATGAAGAGCCACAGTAATTACGAAAGCACCGGAATAATGAACTTGCTTGCGACTGTGAGATCAGCGGTGCGATTGACATACAGAGGCCAGGTGCTGCGGCTGCATGCTTAAGGCTGCAGGAAGGATTAAGGAGGACTCCGGAGAGGTTCTCCCATCCACAAGGCTCGGCAGGTCCAGGAGTTGGAAAAGCCCAAAGGGTATCAAGTCATAGGGTTGTCAGTTCCAGGCTGGAATGTTCCTGGAGATTCAGGGGTGGAGGCTGGGGAGGGTGAGGTTTGGAGAAGGGAGGGACCTCAGCAGGATATAGTGCCATAGAAGCCACTCTCCAAAGGAGCCACTTTCTCCAGGGGAACTGATCTCTGTCGTTTGGAGATCAATTGTAATTCTGGGAGATCTCCTGGCCCCAGCTGGAGGTTGGCAACCCTACCAAGACAAAAGAATCCCAGTGCATGGTCTGAAGGCATGCGATGCAGCAACCTTACTGAAACTGATTTGGGCCTGGTCGGTGTCTGGACAGGAGAACCTCCTGAGAACCCAGCCCACACAATAATTTTTTTAGGGTAATCTGCTTACAACGTTCTCCCACACAATCGAGATTGACAGGCAAGTCAAAAGTCAGCAGACTTTACGTTTAGAGCACAGCTGAGGATATATCTATTTTCCCAGGTAGAAGAAGAAGAGGAGACAGGATTTATACCCCGCCCTTCACTACCTGAAGGCGTCTCAGACCACCTTACAATCCCTTTCCCTCCCCCTCCCCACAACAGTCCACACAATACTTTTTTTAGGGTAATCTGCTTACAGCGTTCTCCCACACAATTGAGATTGACAGGCAAGTCAAAAGTCAGTAGACTTTACGTTTAGAGCACAGCTGAGGATATATCTATTTTCCCAAGTAGAAGAAGAGGAGACAGGATCTATACCCCGCCCTTCACTACCTGAAGGAGTCTCAGACCACCTTACAATCCCTTTCCCTTTCCCTCCCCCTCCCCACAACAGACACCCTGTGAGGTAGGTGGGGCTGAGAGAGCTGCCTTTGAGAGAACAGCTCTGAAAGAACTTGTGACTGACTCAAGGTCACACCAGCAGCTGCATGTGGAGGAGTGGGGAATCAAACCTGGTTCTCCCAGATTCGAGTCTGCGCTCTTAACCACTACACCAAACTGGCTCTCTACCCTATTGATCTCTGCACATATGGGAAGGAGGGACATTAGAACACTGGTCTTTCTAGTAGTTTTAGGAAATTAGTTGTTCTTATTTGTGCACGTTTCCCTTGCACGTTGAGAAATTTATTTTTATTGTTTGCACTGCTATATTCTGCTAATTTTTTTAATTTACCTGCTATAAATTTTCTGGGATATTGTACTACCATTTTTTTTATTCTGTATATGCTGATCTTATCATATTC